CTTTTTCTTGTTACTGATGATACGAGCATAAGCACTAAGATAAAAAGGAAAAAGAAGAAGAAGAAGAAGAAGAAGAAGAAGAAGAAGAAGAAACATAAGCTACAACAGTGACAGCACAATAATCTTTATTCCTTTGAGGCAGATGGAAATCTTACGTATGAAACCAGAAAGAACAGTTCATATCTGAGGGAGACTATTGCTTTCCATGTATTTGTCTGGTAACGATCCCTAAGTCCACTGTGGCCGAGATAGCTGTTAAAAGACTGCACAGAAAGCTTGAATATGATCATAGGTGACATGGGGCACATGGTCAGATAAATGCAGGCATTGCTCACCCACTGTTCTCTATATATATTGATGGATACGCATTGCTGACCAACTCTAAATCTAATCCAAAAACAGTGCAGTAAATGTCTCATGGTTGACGCACGAAGGACATTGCTAGATGCTAGCTAGTATCTCACTGTTGTCAGTGTTTGAGACCTCATTCACTCCCCTCTTTGTCTGTGTTGTCTCATGCTTAGGATTAGGGTATCCATGGTACCTTATTCCATCTTACATTTGGAGGCTTATGTAGGCCTAAATCCTTTGTGTTGATTGATTGTGATTACTGTTTCCATAGAGAAATGGCTAAGCCTAACATTAAGAGGTTTATATATGTTGAGATTACTCCTGACTTAGGCTGATACTAAACCTTTAATCTATTATATGGGTCTACATTTGATTGTCTTCAACCAAGAACATTTAGATCTAAGAAACACTAAGCACTCATGCCATTCTGAAGTGAACACATCATAGTTGACAATAAAATCTTAATCTCTTTATAGTATTGCATCATAGCAATCATGATATACTATTTTCTAATACCATTGTAATGGTTTACCTAAAATAAACAAGGAAAAGAATACGCTACTAAACGTTACGAATTGAATTGATGTTTTTTTTTATCTTCGATTCAAATGAACAAATTGGGTGCTCAACAGATGGTGTAGAAGAACACTGAAGGAGTTGTCTTAATTTGGACTAGCATTGCCAAGTTAAGGATAATTGCATAAGGAACAGTGCATGCAAATTAACTCATGCACATGCCATTGGCTACAAAAGTGATCCAGAGAATCAACAGAAGATTTGGTCAGATTGCGAGAGATTGATCAGTGACAGAGAGATATAAATCACATACTGGTCGAATTGTTCTTGCAAACTCTCAGATGTTATATGACTTCTTCTTCATGCAATGTGCATTTTTTATGTTACTTTTATATTTGATTATGAAGAAAATTTCAACATCTACACATTCAAGATCGACCGAAAACTTTTGAGGATGCATGCAACTATTTTGGATTGGTTTCACTCAGACTTTTCTGTATAGCTTTTAGAAAATCTTTGACTGATTTTTATCGGTTGGTTTATTTGAGTAGATTTTTTTTTTGAGGCATCAAAGACAAATTCATTTAGATTTATGAATTTTGAGTCGTTAGCGACATTTTACGATATTGAAAAATAGTCCTAACTAGATCAGATCGGAGAGGCATCAAACTGAGGATAAAAGAACTTAGCCTTCCATCTTTTTTCTGCAGATCATATAATTAATTCTTTAGCTTTGCATCATATGTTCTATCTTCTTTCTTTCATTTGAGTAGATAGATAGGTGTATTTTCCTCATCCTCACTGATCGGATCAAAGTGTACAAATCAATGGATCTCATTAAAGTCCTCATACCATCTCAAATTTTTTTTTCTGATTGCCACGACTTAATAATATGAATTATTTGGAGCATATATGTTACGGTCAGGTGATCAAGAATTTAAGAAAGGATGAAACAAAGAGATGTTCTGCTCAAAATCCATGCCCGAATGTGCAAGAAACAACATTTTCTACCTTAAGAAATAACCAGTAAACTAAAACAATCCAGTGAGGATTTCATTCTCTAATATGCTTAAGATTAATAGTGTTTAATATCTTTGGTTGAGAAAGGAGAAAGCCTATAATCCATAGAATGAAATGCATACAGCTGAAATCAATAAATGAAAGAACTTAACCTAGATGAGCTTGGACACAGCAAATGTTAAGATTGATACATAGAAGTATCATTAACTGGAGTTCTTTCTTGGATGCTTAAGATTGTATTGTTTTCTGAATTTGGATTCATCTAGTAAAGAAAACAAATTAGACTTTACATCAATATAATGAGAAGGCTTAGAAATGGCATTGACAATCAAATTGTAAGTGAATAATAAAAGCTAGAAAAAAAAAATCTCTTCCTAAGTTGGAAAGCTGATGTAATTGAGTATAACTTCTGAGTTCTACCCGACGAATCGAACGAAGAATACATGTTGAAGAATGGGTACTTCTCACCCTAAAAGAAACATAAATATCTTAATTCTCTTTCAATATGGTGGTTGTGGACATCTTCTTCTAACTACAGTAACTAAAGGCATTCACTTTCCAGAATTAGTTGAACACATAATAGAAGTTGCCATGATGCATTTTTGTCTACACAAGTTGGAAAGTCGAAGTAATAGTATGAGAATACCGCCTTCATTGTATGTATTAGAAGCTTTTTATTCCTTTAAAGCATCCTCCTATAAATGTCAGAATATATACATTTCTTCTGAACTTCAATTAATCAAAAATATTATATTCAAAATTGTATAGATTCAACTATCAGAGTTATTTTAGGTTTCATGTTTTCTTAAGAGGAGTCTATTAGAAGGTAATATAAAGGAAAATACTTACATTTTTTAGTGCTTGACTAAAGAATAAAATGGCGAAGTTGTTTACGATTACCTAATTCAGAATCAGAAAAAGAACATCATATAACTCAGACCATAAATCTTAAAGTTCAAACTCTAGGGTTGTTTTTGTGGTGAAACCTAAAATTTACACATGCTTGATAAGACAAAACAAAACTCAAGAACATCTCCTATCTCTAAGATTGGATCTAAGCTAGAACTGACCTGAAAAATGCCCTTCTTAATCTAATCTCAGATTCCACAAGGTATGGATTACCTAATTTGTAGAGAAGAAAGCATGATCAGCCCTCCATTTTCTTCTCTGCGACGAACATTAGAAACTTAGATCCAGTTTTCACTTGGACCCAAAGAAGAAAAAGAAACCAGAATTACTGCAAGGGAACTTTGGAATTAATTACTGCCTTGAGTTGAGAAAAATGTTTAGCTTAATGGATTCACCACATGATTCTTTTGACATATTTCTGATGAAGAAATACTCTAGAATGAATAGGTGATGACAAACATCCCTGGAGAAGTATCTATAAAATTAAGGGAATGATGAGGCATAAATCATACTTGGAGAAACTGAGACAAGGAAGATTTTTACATGCAGATGAACTAAAGCAGTTGTAATCCAGAAAAGTCAGCTATGCACATTATTGAAATCAGAAACCATCAGGTTCTACTGGATCATTTAAATACCAATAACCATCTTTGTAAGCTATACAAACCTAGAAATATGCAAGAAAAGCATGAACATTTTGAGCAAAAAGTCACTTAGGTACCTTTAATGTTTCTTATTTCATGCATGGACATGGAGTGTCATACAGTAAATCTTCAAACTGGTTTTTGTCGAAGCATTGTTCCTTATGGAGAATATCTTATATCACTCTGCGATTCTGAACTTTTGCTGATCACGGTAAATAAAGAAAATATCATCATAGAAAATCCATCTCGTTGCTTTACAAAGAACGAAAGGATTGCTGCAACTTAGCCCCATCTCTAGCACACAATAAGAAATGCCTGAATGAGTAAATTGCTGATCATGCAACTCAAAATTATACGGACATCTATCTCAAGAACCACATCTCCTGCTCGAAGTTGCATGCTTTTACCATGTTTAACAGCTTATTTAGTGGCCATGCTCACTGGGGAAGGGAAATTTCCAAAGATACGCGAGTAGCATCAATCCAGTATATATATATATATACACACACACATACACACCTCAAACTATTCCCAGCTAGTGGTCTAGAATATAAAAGGGATATTGTATTCTCACATTGCAAGTGGGCAGGACCAAGAGGATTGCCATATCTCCAAATCCAGTCCTTGACGCTAACCAATCATAGCAAGCTACTGTTGACCACAATCTTTGGTTGTCGGCCAGATGATTACGAAAATATGGATCATATCATATCATATTCCACTAGTTCTTAAGCTTTTCGTACCCTTCCCTCTTAAAAATGCATACCAGTCCCCAAAATGCAGTGAATGCATTCGTAGCAATCTGGATCACTACCTTGTTATGGATGGCACCTGTGGGTCTCATGTGGAAGCACGAGAATGAAAGCGTAAAAGATGATGGAAGAACAGGAAGCCCAAGTGTCAGATTATAAAAAGAGATCGGAAAGGGAAGGATCCTGTGATCAGTTCTATCCTTCCTTCCTGCGAGAAGAGAAAGAAGCGGTCCAAGCGGAGATGATAGGGAGGCAGGGAAATGTTATTAGAATGACAAAAGTAACTCAAAAGTGGCTGCAGAATTGCAGCACTGACTCCCAGTTCCATAAATGTGAGGAGAGGAAAAGATACAATAAAATGGGTACTGACTGACAAGCTATTATAAGGTCACCACTAACATATATAGCTTTTGATACCATAAGAAGAAAAGTGGGTCTGAGTGAGTGAAATTGATGCATGAGAGCAGATGCATTACATTGCCATTACAAGAATCTAAGTACACCTTGCAGCAGTGAGAGGTCAGTCAAAATTACAATAGTGAACCCATCTCTTTCTTTGTTCTTTTACCATTCATAGATAGTCCTACCCTCCTCACCCCCCACACCCCCCCACCCCCACCCCCACGACCAAAGGTCTCTCTGCAGCTCCCTATTTGCTTTACCTCCACGAGCGTACTGTACTTATGTTCCTTCCCCTCTTTTTCCCAGTGATGCATGTCAAATATTGATAACACTACCACTTACTCAGTGTACTCTTATCAATGCATCATCTAATGTAGAATCCAAACACAGCTGCTTATCTAAAGCAAAACCAACATGGGACGATGATACTATTTAATATGCAGTAGCAACTTGTTCAGATGTTCATTCAGGTAGGAATTAAAAGAGCACATGAACTAATGATGATGATAAGCAAATAGAGAAGGAAAAAGCTCACACATAGCTACTTCATATTGATCGACGGAAGAAAGGTCTAATGCATATCCGGTGGCAACTCAAAGATTCCGCATGCTCGGCATTCGTACGTCATTGGATCGGATACTGCTGAGGCTTTTAGCTTAGATCAGGCGGCGGCCGGAGGCGGCGGAGGATGGTGCTGTTCATGTTGTTGCGGCTTCTTGCGCTTCTTCTTCTCGTAGCTAATGCCCCGTGCCTTTGACTGAACCTCACGAACCTCGCGGAGGTAGAGACGAACGGCGCGGGCGCCGAACGGGTTCGTCTCAGGCTTGCCTCCGTTCTCCTCGTAGGCAGCACGGAGGCGGCCGATGAGGGCATCGAGGCTGCCCCAGGCTTGCCGAAGAGGGCACGGACACGGCGCCGGGGGGTTGGGGTGGCCGAAGAAGGGGCACATGTGGGTGTGAATTTTGGTCTTCCCGAATTGATCCAGGTAGCGGAGGAACTCGAGCACATGGGCGCTGCTGCACTGCGCGAGGGAGAGCGGTGGGCGGTGGTTCCTTAGGTACTGGCCAAATGTGTTCCAGTCCCGCCGTTTCTGCGACTCGTAGCGGCTTAAGGATGGAGGCGAAGAGGAGGCCGCAGCGCCACCGGCGGTGGCAGCCGAGGACGAGGAGCTAAAGTTCTGGGGGCTGCTATTGGGACTGCTCCCGCCGCTATTGTTAGAGTGGGGGCTATCCGGGTTTGGTACCAAGTCCATGGGGAAGCACAGTAGATCTTTCTTCTTCTGATTCTGAGATCTTCCAACTCTCGTTACATTCCCTTAGCTCCTCTTAGCCTGCATAAGAGTTCAAGTCACAGCCCAGAAAAAAAGCGAAAGGATAATGGTGATGACGTCCATGAAATATGATGATCTATTTGGCGGTCGTAGCCAGTCTTATTCCTATCAATTTTCGTTTCCAGAAACCGGAGAAGCAAGATGATCTAACCATTTCCATTGCTATGTCCGAGGCACTAGTAGAGAAGCAAGAGAAAACAAAGCTAGGTATATACATACAGATCCGACTCGGTTCAGCATGGACTTCACCTATACAGTTGAGACGAGGAAGGATCCGAGGAGGAGTTGGATAGGCAAGAGGAAGCAAGGGAGGAGGGAGGAGGAGGAGAGATGGGAATTAAAGGGAGGTGGAAGAAGCTTACTGTTGTTCCCTGGGGAGCTGAGTTCAAGCTTCCAGTGGCCTGATGTCTGGTTGTGAGAGAAAAGATTCCGAGAGCGTACATGGCCTCTGTGCGCAGGGTGGAGGAGCTCAGGAGTTTGTGGAAATTGTGCTTGGGATAATTAAAGCGGAGGGAGGATGCTGCTCAATTTCTGGGAGAACTGAGTTTTGTACACCAATGAGAAAATTCAATGGGAGCGAGAGAGAGCACATAGCTGCATAGTTAGGGCTTTCTGTGTCGATGGAGACAAAAGTTTGACAGTGGGGATGAAAGGTGATGTGACAGGATAAAAATTGAACATGGTGGGGTTTGATGATCCACTGTAGTATTAGGGCAATAATATCTGCATAATTTCCCTCCTCCCATCTTTTTCTTCTTCATCTTCATCTTCATCTCCATCTCCATCTCCATCTCCATCTCCGGTGGTGTTTAGTGCTGCAATATTCACTTCGGTGCTTTACAACGTGGAGTTCACGGATCTTAGTTTTAGTACGCACACCAAAGCATGGGCATTTTTAGGCTCGCGATTTGGCGACTTGTCTCCACAGGACCTCAATCATGATCAAAGGAAAAAGAATCATACAGCCGACCCAACCCAAATAGTTGATGCGACTTTGACGTTTACACTGTTCTCTCTCTCTCTCTCTCTCTATATATATATATATAGTATAAATTTACAAGCAAAGTCGAGAATGAGTGAACTAATCAGCCGTGGAGAATTCCAGGGATGACGTTGTGTGGGTCCTCACGCGTCCGCAGGTGACCACATCATCCAAAGATCTTTTCAGGGTTGATTCGTTCCAGCTATAGAGCCTTTTCTCTTTGGCCTCTCTCTCTCTCTCTCTCTCTCTCTCTCTCTCTCTATATATATATATATATATATATATATATATATATTCTGTTCTAGCAGTCTACATGGAATAATAATATTTCTCCTTGACATTTGCCTGCTCGTCTCTTTGAAGCCATATTCTAGGAAACATCTCCATGTCTTGGGAAGTGAACGCGTGAAGAATCGGAATCCTAAGAAATCTCAGAATGTATTTGGACCAAACGAAGGTTGCAGTGGAATTTATGATCCTCGTGTAACCTAAACACAATATATTCTTCTTCTTTCTTGCACGCTTTGTGCGTTTACAGGTACAACTTGATCTTGCTGATCCATTTCCACCTAACTGTTCTTCTCAATCGCCACCATTCTATTTCTACTTGCAGCAGTAGTTCCGATTCGGACTGTTCGTAGTGCTCTCTTGTTGATTGGTGCTTGCTTTTCTGCTTCACTTCTATTGGACCAACACATTCTTTCACTTTCTTATCATTCCTATCCATATGGTCTTTTCAATGATGCTGACATGTCTACTAAATATCACCTTTGTTCCCTTTCGATCTATAGAATCCGATAGCTTTTTAATTGAGAGCTGTCACCTACAAAGGCACTTTCTTTTTCACTCTTCTTCTTCTTCTTAAATCTGTGCTTCATTTCATGTTGAAATTAAGACCATGAATTGCATGAAGAGTTGGAGCTAATAATTCTCAAAAGCCTATCATAAACAAGCTCTTCAACAAGCCCAACTCCCAAAGAGCCACAGAAAAAACTGACTAGGAATGCATCACTTGCTCCCTCACAAGCTCTAAATAACTTAGAAATGAGGTCATCACACAATCCATCAATCTCATATCTGGCACAAGAAGAAGTCCACACACTTGTTCTGCATCATGCATGCTCATGTCAGCTCTAAGATGGCCAAGTTTGGGGTTCATTGAACATTCAATAACTCAACTTCACATGCTCTTCAATTTCTGCACTTAGCAGAGTGGATCAGCAACCAGAAGTAAAAGGCATTTACTTCTGGTTGACTACTGGTCTGTGGACTGCACCCACAAGCAGCTGAGAAGTTGTGAGTACAACAAGTAAACTCAGGTGAATGAGAACTCTCAGTTATTAAATCTCTACATCAGAGAAAGATCTCATGTAGTCCTTTCGGACACAAGAATTTAAAATTAAAATAATATATTTAGAGTTAGAAAGATCAAATAAATTCTCTCAAATGGACACTTTGGATCTACAAACACCAAAAATTAGGGATAAGAAATCCCATGTAATCCAAGGATTCACATAATATCTTACAATGACTAAAAAATGTGAAATTAAAGAATAATCTAATCATAAAACCAAAGCTATAAATGATGTCAAATGCGTGGGGCAGCTTTGAAGAGGATTCAAAGTTTGTTCTCGGATTACACTAATTCTACAATTTTATCTTTCTTGCTTTGAATGCCTCGCCACGATCAATTTGTTTCCGGAATTTGCTCGTTTACACAAGAAATAGTGAAAAAAAGGAGGAAAAAGAAGAAGGAGAGATTATGAGATAGTTGAGGTGTTTATGAGATGAGCCATGTGAGAGCATTTAGTTCTAATTAACTTTCCTTACTAAATGTAAATCTAAAGTGGTTCTTAGGATCAAATCCCCCAATGGCATCATTAGGTTGATTTGGATAGGACAGATGCAGTTGGGGAATTCAATGACAAAATTATATTATGTAATATATTTTTAATAAATGCATACCACATTATTAGATTATAATTTAAATAATTTAATCTAAGAGGTCGTGTGAAAGGAATTGAAATTATAAAGAATTTAATGCAGTTGTTCGACCATACAACTTAAATTGACAATGAGACTAAGCTAGATTTAAGTTGATGATTAGTAGAGTAGATTATTAAGTAGAAATCCTATCGAAACTTTAATCGATTGGGTTTGAGTCTCACAACATGAAATCGAATCAAATCATTGATCGACCTATATATTTAGTCATGATATAAAATCAAAAAATATTTTTTATATTTTATAAATTTTAATGGATCATTTTTATTTTTACAAATGGTATATATCCTTATTCCGAATAATGCCTAAAATACCTCACTTGCCACAATATGGTTTAATTTTTGGAGACACCCTATGGGACCATTCTTTTCATTTTAGTTTCCGGACCAATCCATATGGTTTAATTGGATATATTATTATAATATTTTCATTTGACTCATTTATAATATTTTAAAAATATTATAAATTTATTAAGAAAAAAATATTATAAGTCATTATGATATTACATTTGGAGACCTGTGGCTGGCTAGTTTGATTGAGGTTAAAAGTCAATTTGGATCATTTATAATATTCTTGCATAATGATAAAAACATAAACCTATTTTTAATCTTTATTTGTGTGATACATTATAAATAATTATTTAAATTCTAGTATGATATATTAAATGACTTATAGTATATTTTAACGTTATAATACTTTTGTTAAGATATTGAAAATATCATAAAGATATTGAAGAATATGATAAATGATTGATTTGGTTTTAGGGGTCCATTTATATTCTTTTTATGGTGTTTTAAAATAAATTTTAAAATATTTTTTAGATTTAAAAAAATTATAATATATCAAATTTTGGTCTAATTGGGAGTGGTGATGAATATTTTTTGGTATTATAAAAAATAAGGTACCATTTGAAAAAATAAATAAATAAATATAAATATAAATATAAATATATATATATATATATATATATATATTCAAATTTAATTATTTTTTTCTTCTCAATTTTCCTAATTTCCAAATTTCCGTTCACACTGACTTCAATGCATAGGTGGGGGCGGATTGAGACGTTGGCGAGTTCTTATCAGCATCATCGGCTCCTTCTAACCCTAACGTGTCGAGAGAGACGGGAAGACGAAGAAGCCGATCTCTCCTCCTTCCGCCGGCCGATCAAACCCATCCATCAATCGGTCGATCGAATTGTTAATTGGAGGAGGATATGGTTTGCATACGGCAGGCGACGGTGGAGGATCTGCTGGCGATGCAGGCCTGCAACCTGCTGTGCCTGCCGGAGAACTACCAGATAAAGTACTACCTCTACCACATCCTCTCCTGGCCGCAGCTGCTCTTCGTGGCCGAGGACTACGGCGGCCGCATCGTCGGCTACGTTCTCGCCAAGATGGAGGAGGACGCCTCCGAGCCCTGTCACGGCCACATCACCTCCCTCGCTGTCCTCCGCACCCACCGCAAGCTCGGCATCGCCACCAAGCTCATGACCGCCGCCCAGAACGCCATGGAGTCCGTCTTCGGCGCCGAGTACGTCTCCCTCCACGTCCGCCGCAGCAACCGTGCCGCCCTCGTCCTCTACACCTCCACCCTCGGCTACCTCATCCACGACGTCGAGGCCAAGTACTACGCTGACGGCGAGGACGCTTATGACATGCGCAAACAATTCAAGGTTCGGCCTCATACCCACGGCCATGGTCACCACCACCACCACCATCACCGTGGAGGCTGCTGCTCAGTGGAGGCGAAGAATGCAGTTGCTGCAAGTGCAGGTACATCTGCTTCAGCTCCAGCTCCAGCTTCGGCCTCCGGGGAGTGAGAAACTTGCGGCTAAGGTAGTCTTGGACACTGTTTGCCTATTGATTTTGGTGACTGCTGATAGAGGTAATAAATTGTGCTTTATCTTTATCATTGATTGTGATTTGAAGACAAAGTTGGGGCTATAGCTTTGCTATGTATTTGACTATTCAGATTATCATGTCTCTGTGGAGTTACTTGGCTTCCATTTGATTGTTGAAGAAATTGTCTTCTTTCCACCTACTTACTGTTGGTTTGGTGGTTTATTAGGATCATTTCATCTTTTTTGCTGCAGATGACTTTGTGATGTATTGACTGAATTAGGAGCTGATAGATGGGTATGTGTCATTTACGGTGTCAAAAGAATGAATTTGCACTAGAAATTGTCTGCATCGGTAGGGGATTACACTTGACTTTATATAGAATTCATGGTGTCATTTGGCTGAATTTGCACCAGAATGAACTTATGGTGATAAAAGAATGAATTTGCACGTAGAGATTGTCTGCATTGGGAGAGATCACACTTATCTTTATAGAGAATTTATGGTGTCAAAACAATGAATTTGCACCTAGAAATTGTCTGCATTGGTAGGGGATTACATTTATTGTTATAGAGAATTTATGGTGTCATTTGGATGAATTTGATCTAGAATGAATTTATGCTGTTTTTTAATTGGAAAGCTTTTTCATTACATTAAATGGTGTAAATGATGCTCACACATGGACTGAAACATTATGCAACAATGCACTAATGATGTCTCAAAAGAGACTAATGTGTTTATGGTGTTAAAAGAATGACTTTTGTACTTTAAA